AAAAAAGCATTTTCCTCGCTATGTATTTTTTCAGCGGAAATGGCGGATTGCAACATGCGCGCGAGTCCCATTTATTCCGGACAGAAATCACTTCTTTCGCAGTATTCCCGTGCTCCGTTTTGCAGGCTCCGAATATTAGTCCTCGGTTATTGCGCCAAGGTAGAAAAGCCGGCTTAACTCGGATTTTAGTCGTACGTTTATTTGAAAATTGTAAGAGTCCGAAAACCAGAGGAGATTGTATCTCGAAATACGTGTACCTCTCGAGTTTATTTATTTATGATTCTTTTTTTAAATATATATAGTAACTCTCGATAGTCAATTATTGTGTGTGTGTGTGAGATGCGCTTTATCAATTTTCCTGCGGAGTGGTCGGAGTTTGTGTTCTATAAGCTGTTCAAAATATGTACATGCAGATCCAACATAATCAGGTGCGGGTAACGTAATTGGAAAATTAATAGGATGACATTGCGGCTAATAATCTGGGCGCGAACGGCATCCGCCCAGTTCCCGACGACGTTACCGGGCACTTGTATCACCTGTTACGCCTGTCAACTGGGCTTTTCCGCGCTCCCCCGACATTCTCCTGTCCCGTTGTTGCGTCCTCCACAGCATATTGAGAGTTCGTATGCTAACACACTGGTAACCGGCACGAGGAGAGAGCGCCAATCGATTACCAATGTCTGGCGTGGCGCGCGCGACGAGAAAAGGACAGATCAATGGAGGAAATGCAAAACGTGCGGAATACCGGAGCCAATTTCGAACGATCCGTAAAACGGCTCGTTCGCCGCGTTACGATCGCCATGTGGTACGTAAAATATCCCGTTTTCTCTTCCATCGGACACGGCGAATAAAGTAAAATCGCGTTTACACATGAACATTAAACGCGACCGTCATCAGGCAATTTATCATACGTCGCAGAAATTCTTCCGGTGCTCCGACACGTCGGTCGATAAATCTCTATCGTTTAGCCTTACGGTGCATGAGACTTTTATCCAATTATGCAGTCAATCAGAGAGAGAGAGAGAGAGAGGAAGGGGGGAGGGAGAGAGGAAGGAAAAGCCGCCGTCATAAGCGAAACAAAAGGAAACGCCTCTCGATCCAATTACACCTCGTTTCCGCCTTTTGGACGCCAATTTCCCTGAGCCGCATGATCGCGCGGTAGGTATCGCGAACGTACACGGTAAATTGCGATCTTCATCTAAGGGCGGTCAATGTGCGGCTCGGTCGAGGCCGTTTGCCGGGTGCGATAAATTTTTCTCTCTCCCGTGACGAAGAAAAATCGACGACGCTACACATCGTCGACATGTCGATCGTTTCCCTTTCCCCCTTACCCTCGAAGTCATTGAGGCGAGCCATCGAAGGTCCATCGAATTCGCTTTGTGCGAAGGGACTTTGACGTGCGAGCGATTGATCGGTCGCGTCTCTCCTCGTTTCTACACCAACGCCTGTGACTGTGTTCAAATAATTTCAGCCTCTTCTTCGTGGGTGGTGAGTTCTCTAAATATTTGGCACGAGTATATTTATCGGCGTATACGCGCAATATGTGTGCACGCGTACACGCACACGCGCGCGGGGATTTGCGTACGCGAATTTCGACCGCGCGAAATGAGACAGCGGAATCGACGCGGCCGGCGCGCGGTTCTCGCTAAGATCGTCGCTAAAAATAAACGTCGCAATAAACTCAAGGGTGACGTCCACCACGCGGATCGACGACGACGACGACGACGACGTCGTTTTTAGCCCGTCCTTCTTCTTCTTCTGCGAAACTTTTGTTTCTTCTCGTCCAATTTCTCCGAGATTACGCCCCGCGAATGTTTATGCCATTATTCGCCGTAACCCGTAAACTCCCGGGATGATTTCATCAACGGCGTCCATATATTCTCGAAGCGCGAAAATAAGCATTCGGGGAAGGGGTGAGGAGGAATAAAAAAGCACGCGTCGAACGGATCTAATCGCAGACGCGCACGATTGCGCTTTATAGATCATTGCGGCTAGCCACATCACGTTGTTTCCTTAATCGAAGAGAGAAGCTCGGTATAATTAGCCGAAACGATAGCAGTTGAGATTAAACGCGTAGCTCTGTTCATTGCGTCAACGTTTTCGCCTCTCTCTCTCTCTATCTATCTCTCTATCTCCGTTAGGGTTTATTATAATAAGACATCTGCACAATGTGTGTAACGTTTACGTCAAGGATAATTAATAATAACATCTCGGTGTCTTCGAGTTCAAAGTCCTTGACGATCAAGGCCAAGTGCGTTATATTTTCTCCGCTCGCTGCGCAATTTAATCGCCTCGTTAACAGATTCGAAAGTCATTTTCGACTTTTTGAACTTTCCGCGTTCTTTCCTCCCAAGGGGAGCCACTCGTCGCGCTCGGCGGCACCTGCGTCGAAATTTATTGCGATATTATATAAATTCGCGAGGATAATTAAAAATTTAAGAAGACAGTAAATCTATTTCTAAAAATTTACACAGTCGTTAATTTTAAATAATAATAATAATCAAGTACTTGAGATTTTTAACCTGAGTCTCAAAACAAGATCAAACACAAGCTAACGATGAGTAACTATGTGAGGTATTTTACTTTACATGAACTTCTCCCATGGGAAACGCGCTCCCGGCGTTTCTTGCAACAATATCCGCGCGCCGCTGACGTTTATGCAAGACAATATGGTCTCTTTGAGATCGTTGCGGTGTCGTGGTCGCGATTATTACGCTCCATTCTCGCCGATGGCAAATTCGTGAAAAACCGCGATCGATCAAACCGTCACTTAACCGTTTCTTACTCTGATATAACAAATAAGGTTTTTTCTTATTCACTCGATATAATCTGCCTGATTACGCGCGCAGAAATCTTTTCTCGCCAGCAACAACGAAATCACGGTCGAAATTTGTGTCAAGACGATTCGCTACTTCCATAAGAACGACTCGACATTTAACACATTGATGATTCAGCAAGTTTCTTTGATTATTTCACAGCAATGCGACGATAAGAATCGTGACTCTTGTACACATCGACGATAAAATAATAAAATGCAGATCGATCATTTGACAGAAGTGTCAAAAAAGTAACGAAGTTTTACTTCGGGAAAAAAAAAAAAACTTTCAGTTTCCTACGGTCGAATCGAACGAGCGTGTAAAACAATGACGGGCACAACGACGACGTGGAACAACAGTCTGGATTTCTTGACGCGTACTCGAGATCATTAATTCGCTCAGACATGGATATTAATCACGTAGACAATCGAAATCGGCGGCCGATCGCCGCGTCGTGCGAAAAAATAATTTTCTACGTGGACGATTTCACGACCGGTCGTGATTTGTCACCGGAGTTCTGCAACCGCGCTAACGATGACGTCTATGCGTTATCGGTCGAAGCGAATAGCCCGCGGGCAGGTCATCGTTCCAGCTTGTATCCGCCCAGTCTCGACAGTCCGGCGACCTTCCAGCTGAACGATCGTTCTGCATTTTATATCCTGAACGCCGGCGAGAGATCGCTCTCCTCCAATCAGCTGTGCTCTCAGTCGAGCACTCCGCGACGTTCCAGATCCAATTTGGACGTCGATCAGCGATCGAGCAGACGCTCCAGCGTCTCGAGCGGACGTCGCTCGAGAACGAACAGCTGCAGCAAACCGACGCCGTTAGGTACGCGATAATTGAAACGGGGATTGAGAAATGAGAGATAATTTTCTAGCTTTTATACGCAGTCGAACGCGAACGAAATAAAAAGTAGTTTTAAATAAACGTCGCGATGTCACATCATTTAAAAGCGAAGGTTGTGCATACCTTGACGTAAATATAAATTTTATATTTTCTCGCGAGACAATGTATGTGTCCTTTTGCGACTTGATGACGTTGTTGTTTCAATGAATGCATTCAAGATACATAAAGCGAATCGCATTTAGCATCCGAGCATTCGAAGACAATTACCGCATTCGGTCGATCAATTTCAATTTTGTGGACGTAAAAAGAATTTCAGTTTTAATATTATATAACGCGTCGACCACATGTAACTGCAGGTAATGATAGGAGAGCCAGTGTTAGCAAGAAAAACAGGCCACGAAGAGCGAGCACCGTTTCCCGAAAGAACTCGATTCATCCCAGCAAACCGGACGTCAAGCACACGCCGAAGATAATACGAGACTCGCGCGAGTACGAGCAGGAGAGGCGTCATCGGCGAATCGCCATGATTGTTCTGGGAACCTTTATCTTTCTTCTGACCGCCTCGGTGCTGGTGGTGGTGATCACGCTAACGCACAGCACCTTCCTGAGTCCCGCGGTAGGCTCGAAAGAGCTAACCGAGCACAGAGCGCAATGTAAATCGTGAATGCTGAGAAAGCTTTAGATATACTAATTTTAGACTATATATATTTTTTTTTTTAATATATTCTGAAATTTGAACTTAAATTTGGAAATTTAAAACAAAATGTTTAAAATATTATAATTCACAGTTAACTTGGTTAATTTAACAACAACATCTGTACAACTTAGAAGCGTATCCCATTTTACATTAAAAAATTGAGTTCAAATTTCGAATGTTTAAGTCGTAAATTTAAAATTATAAGAACTAATTTTTTTTTTCAATCACTTGTTACACAATCGTTCTATTAATAATTACAATCTTTCTCGTTGTAATCTCTCTTATTAACGCTATTCCTTTTTTCTTTAGCTCACCTTAGAGTTTATGTAACTTTTGTGAATTTCTACCATCCATTTATTCTTTCTCTTTTACCGGAAGGTTGCGTTTGACAGAAATTGTAACTCAAGTTTGCGCTACTTCACTTTTATATAAGCGCCGAAGTTCGCACGCGCCACATCACAAAGTTGAAAAAAAATCTGTCCCGGCGCGGAAAGAAAGTAGTATTAAATTTACACTGTCGTTCTCGACTCCATTACATGCTCGCGCGAAACGCTGTATTATACAATATACGTCATCGAGAAGAGATACGCTCTTCTGCAAGTTTTGCACTTCGCTCACACCGATGCTCTTATCGTTTTCAGTACGAAAGGAGAACGAGGAGCTGCTGAACTCCCTCAACAGGGACATTTCCGTGCCGGAGAACGTCACGGCGCCGCCCTAAAAACGGGCGATCTCTTTTTGGACAGAACCGCATCGCACGTTCGTCGCTCTCTCAGTTCGTCGCTTCGACACGTTTTCTCAACCCTGTTATCAAGAAGATCAAAGCGACAATTTTCACGACGGACGGCGGACAGCGTCGTCGACGATTTAAAAAACGCGTCGACGTCGCCATCATTTCAGAGGTGATATTTTATTCTCGCCAGCAACGTGGCGAGATAAAAAAAAATTGATACACTCTCTTTGGCCTCCGACCGGATCTCTCAGATCGGCGGCGATTGTATTTGATTGTAGGCGTATCGTGTACATCACGTCGCGTTGTTCGAAAGGTGGATTTCTATTGTATAAACGATTTCGCGGAAAACGTTGTCGCAAATAACACGCGGTCGCGAAAAATCCCGCGACCGCGCCATGTTGCATCGTTGATTGTATTGTTACCGCGTTCGGAAACTTCGCATTGATACGTGTATATATTATATACACAGATACATACACACACATATATGTATATATATATATATATATCGTATCGATGCAGACTAGATGCCCTCGATTCCAACAGGCTTCGTCAATAAGTGCTCGCTCTCCCCGATCGCACAAATACCGAACGAGCGTTCAATCGAAACAATTATGGCGCGAATTCGAGAAAGATTCGACCAAATTAATTAACTTAAACACTTTATCTCGCAAAACAAAACAATTCTTATATTCAGCACGTGCATGTACGCATTTGAAAATCTGGAGAGAGAGAAGATAAAAGCTTTAATCTCTTACAACAATTGTAATATATTATAGAAGTACGTAGCGATTGTATATAATTGAAGAGTAACCCAATCTGCGTCGAGACGATAGTCACGACGAGACACTTTTCGACGGCGCGACGAAATATTTGAAAGCTCAGCGGCGACAGTTAGTCGCGCGAAACTTCATCCGACGTTAGCTCGCACACCGAATGCCAACAACGAAGGAACGATTCAGAAGTTACACACGTGAGAAATGTGCTATAGACGCGGCACCCGGCCGTCGTTTCGCCGTCGACGACGGAATCGACGTGTGTGTCGAAGCCTCTCGTCTGTTCACTTCCTCGAGTACGAGCGGATGTACGTGGCCCGGAATCGGGGGTACACGTGAGTTATCGATCCGCGTCATCAACACGCGAATACGGACCTTTACACACGCCACGAACGCCCGCGAGAAATTGTGTCAGACGAAAACCGACTGACGACACGAGAGTTTTAGCTTCCTTGGTGCTTTTTAACAATGTCTTCCAGGACGAGAGAGAAAGAGAGAGAGAGAGAGAGAGAGAGAGAGAGAGAGAGAGAGAGA